GTATAATCGATATATTCATAGCAAAGATGTGTATAATACCTTGACTTGTCAAGCCCGTGATCGTATTAAAGGTTTATCACAAGTTGCTGAATTATTAAACAACTTACAAAATAAAAAAGAATATACGGTTACTTATTCTGTTAATAATAATAGACTTCATAGTTTATTCTTTACTATATCGAACTCATTAACAGCTTTCAAGCGTTATCCAGAGATTGTGTTAATGGATTCAACGTATAAAACAAATCATTTTGGAATGCCACTCTTACTTAATAGTGGTTTTGATGCAATGGGTTCTACATTTTTAATTGCAAGTGGACTTATTTCTAATGAAACTGTATTAAGCTTCTGTTGGGTACTTTAGCAGTTAAAACAAATAGCTGGTGATGCAACAATAAATCAAATCCAAACAATTTTAACGGATAAAGACCTTGCTATGCTCTCATCAGTTCGGAATGAATTATCACATGCCAATTATCAACTTTGTATTTGGCATTTAGAACAAAATTTAATTAAAAATTTAACAGGAAAACTTAGTAATAGATTTTTGGCATTTAGTAAGGATTTTAAAGTTACAATGATGCAAAACACTAAGGAAATGTTTGAAACTAGTTGGAATCATCTTTTAATAGAATATCCCGAAGTCGAAAGTTATATGAATGAACAGTGGAAACCTTTTACGTATATGTGGGCATACTGTTTTACTAATAAAAATACTAACTATGGAATAAGAACAACACAACGATCAGAGGCTAGCAATGCACATTTAAAACGGTTACTTGGTTATACAATACCATTACCCGAGTTAATAAATGCATTAGATAAATTATCTTATCAACAACTTCAACGTTCACAATATTAACAATACCGTATACATGAAAGTATTTGTCAGCAATGCCCTGAATTGCTTAAAAATATTTCGACTATTGTATCAAATTTTACATATTCATTAATATTAGAACAATACAATTTAGCTAAAATTAAAAATTATTCTATTAAGAAGCAAGACAATTTATTCAAAGTTTATTATGAAAACAATCACAAACATACAGTACATCAAACAGATACAATTTTAGTTTGTAGTTGTGATTATACTATCCAATTTTCTTTGCCATGTCGCCATATTATTGCTCTCTATATTGTTAATCAAAAAAAGATAAGTATTGACTATATTGGCGAACGTTGGATAGTGGATACAAATGATAGAGTACAATTTAGACAACAAATTATTACAAGTAATGAGTTTTCAGCATCAACTGAAGATTTTGTATCAACTGTCGATTCTGTATCAACTATCAATTCTGCATCCACTGCCAATTCTGTATCAACTACCGATTCTATTATATCAACTATCGATCCTAGATCAACTTCCAATTTTGTACCCACTGCTGATTTTGTGTCAACTGATAATTCTATATCGATTTTAACTACACCAACTACTGAATTAGCTAATTATAGCAATCAACAAATATCTAGAAGTACCGGTACTGCTGATTTACTAAAAGAAATTGAAGCAATTTGTAATCGAGTAGGTCATATCCAAATTAATAATGATGTGGCTGTTTTTGTCGATTAACTAAATAGTAAATATCCTTTATTTCAAAATGACATTGGAGACCCTATTACTATAAAAACAAAAGAAAGACCAAGTGGTACCAAACGCAAAAAAACATGTACTGAACATGCTATCAAAAAGGTATATATATGTGGTATTTGTAATGGTGCCGGTCATAACTCAAGAAGCTGCTCAAAAAAATAACAATTTATGTTAGAATCTAAAAAAAAATTATCTGCTAGCACAATAGTTTGAAATTTTAGTTTGCAAGATAGATCTTATTGAAGATTTGTAAGTAGAAAAAAAAAGATATGCATAATTTTTGCTAAATAGATTAATATTCTTTGTCTTTGCATAGATATAATAGAATAAAAATGTTCTTAAGCACTTCAATCAATAGAACGGAGGCAAGATTTTAATTAGTTGGAAATCAAATAAACCAAACAAGTGGGTTACCATTTTGATAAATAAAACCTGGCCATCTTTTTTTTATAGAGTTGCTCTGACCAGCTAAAATTTAGAATCCGCATTTCACAAAATGAATTTTTAACAAGTTGTCCTTTGATTAACTGCATTAACCGCTCAATTAATTATAATAACCTACTTACATTGAGGAGCTGCTTAAGAACACCCTAAGTTTTATTTGTTATCTGCTGTTGATCCTCGGTTAGCTGTGTAATTTTTCATATCTGCCTATACTTTGATAGATAAACCTTGATTATTTAATGCATCTACAAAGTTTAGATTGATTTCTAATAATTATTCAAATCTACACATGATTCTTCATATCCGCCCATACTTTGTTCTTGAGTATTTAATGCTTCTGCAAATTTTGGATTGATTACTAATGATTTATTGAATGTAAAAGTAATTTTTCATATTTTTTCATGCTTTGATAGATAAATTCTCAGACCGCAACTTGCAGTAGAACTTATTAAAAGCATAAGGCCTTAGAAGGAATCATCAGTTAATGT